TTGAAAATGTGAAGTCGGCAACCCGTTGGAGAAACAGTCAGACGCCGTCACGCTTATACTGGGTATTCACAAACGAAGAATTCCTAGTTGACGACCTCTCAATCCTGGCTCCCCTGGGCAAAAGTGACCACGCCGTCTTATCATTCAGCTTTGTCAGCAAGACGGAGCTACGATATCCTATTAGCAACAAGCGCTGGAACTTCAAACGGTTGAATGTGTTAGCTTTACAGGACTATCTTCAACAGGTGGATTGGAATGTTCGCCCTGAAATTGAAGTGGATGCTCATTGGGATTTTTTACTGCACACGATCTTATGTGCTACTGAGCATTCAGTTCCTAAAATGGTCCCAAAAAGCTACAAGCAACCTGCAATCATCAAGAACCGCACTCGTCGTTTGCTAAGCCGCAAAAGGCACTGTTGGGCTGAATATAAACGAACGGATAACAACGGCGCGTACAGGCAATACAAACATATAAGGAACACATGCACAAAGGCAATAAGAGAAGACAGGCTTCAGTTCCAGACCAAGCTTATCGATAGATTCGTCTCCAATCCGAAAAGCTTGTTCAGTTATGCAGCTTCTCTTCGACAAGGCAAAACTGGAGTTTCACAACTGCTTGGTCCTAATGGCCCGACCAACAACGACAGTGATGCCGCTAACCTTTTGGCTGAACATTACTCCCGGACATTCCAACTGACCCACATCAACCATACTGACGAAAGCTTCACCTGCACCTGTACAGGACTTTCCGAAGTGGACCTGAGTGCTGACTTGGTGCTCCGTAAACTGCAGAACCTAAAAAAGACACTTCTCCTGGTCCGGACATGGTTCATTCCGCCGTATTGAGGGAAGCAGCTTCAATCCTGGCGACACCACTTAGCGTGATGTTTACACACTCGCTAAGCAGAGGCAAACTACCGGAAATATGGAAGCTGGCCCACATCACACCAATTTTCAAAGGAGGTCGACGCAGTGAACCCTCAAGCTACCGACCAGTGGCCCTTCTCTCCATACCTTCAAAAATTATGGAATCCCTAGTATTCGACGGCATACTAGAACATTTATCATCCTCAAAGTTCTTCTCGCCTCAACAGCATGGTTTCAGAAAAGGTCATTCTTGTACGACCAACCTGCTGACTGCGGTGGATAAATGGACAACCATCCTTGATCGCAAGGGGAAGGTTGACGTCATTTACCTGGACTTCTCAAAAGCTTTTGATAGGGTCAACCATGCATGTCTTATCAAGAAGCTTGGACGATTGGGTATAAAACCCCCTTTAATTGACTGGATCACTTCATACCTAGAAAACCGACATTTTAAGGTCAGGGTTAACTTCACTCTCTCTCAGGCTATGGAATGTCCTAGTGGGGTCCCCCAGGGTTCAATACTAGGACCTCTTCTCTTCTTGATTTATATTAACGATCTTCCTCAACAAGTTTCATCTGATTTATTGCTTTTTGCTGATGATGTGAAACTTTGGAGAGAGATACGTACTCACAATGATATACTAGTTCTGCAGGAGGATCTGACTCGACTTCAAAGTTGGGCAGACGACAACGGACTTACCTTCAACACTTCAAAGTGCAAGGTAGTCCATCTGAGACATGTTGCAGACTATAGTTATAACTTAGGTAACTCACCTCTAGAAGTTTCCCAAGTTGAAAAAGATTTAGGAGTGTTGGTACCCTACGACCTGAAATCGTATGCGAACTGTGACAAAAACGCCTCTCAAGCAAACCTTGCACTGGTAACATTGAAGCGCATTTTTGGCCAGTTTGACGGTAGAACCTTCCACATAATCTTCAACAGTTTTATTCGTCCCCACTTAGAGTACGGAAACATAGTATTTCCTCCCTCCCTCCAAAAGGATAAGGTCACTCTGGAACGTATACAACGTCGAGCCACGAAATCAGTTCGGGGTCTCAAATTCAAACCTTATGAAGAGCGCCTCAAATCACTTAACCTTTACCCGTTAGAGTATAGGCGTCTTAGAGGTGATCTTCTTATGACTTATAGTATCCTTAATACTTCTGGTCATCCCCTTAAACAACTTCTTAAGCTTAGTCATAACACTAACCTCAGAGGTAACACCCAGAAATTGGAGACCCTACATAGCAGAACAGACTGCAGACACAACTTCTACTCCGTTAGAGTTGTCAAGTGCTGGAATTCGCTGCCGACTGAGCTAGTCCAAGCGACCTCCCAGGAGTCCTTTAAGAGAAAACTTGACTTATTCTTAAGGACTAAGGATAACATATTATTATGATTTACCAAATTCTTTTTTTCCCTCTATTATCGTTCATATACCTAGGTTCTTGCCTGGAGGTATTGGTGATCCACTGCTATCAGACACGGAAGCCCGTTAAGCGAAAGCTTTTTCTATTCCGTCCGTGTATGCACCTTCGCCATTGCAAACGATTTTGAGCCATGTTATTCAAGGTCTCTAATCATCGGTTTCTATCATCTCGCGGATCCCAACCAGGTAGTCTACACCTATCAACATGGCTCAGTCCACTTGTCAGCGACTTCATGGATTTATATCAAGTTTTGGTCTAGCCGCCCCTAGCTTCCTTCCAACCAACTCCTGCACCAAAAAGCATTGCACGTGGGGCAGTCGGTGGTTGGGCATGCGTAACACGCGTCCCGACCATCTCAACTGATGAAGTTTCACTACTTCATCAATCGATTTGCCATCATTACATAGTACCTGTTTCCTGACAACTGCATTACTTACTCGGTGGTCCCAGGATATACGACCAATGGTTCGAAGACACTTATGATCGAATACTAGTAGCCTACGAATATCTACTCTTACCGGCCGTGTTTCACTGACATAAAGGAGGACGGAACGAACTGCTACGCAGTCAAACCGTCCTTTGGTTGTGTTATAAATGTATTTTTGCTATATAAACGACCCAGCTATTCCTATCGCTTAGAATTCTTATACGATGACACTCGACAAGACCCCAAAATCAGAACACGTTGAACAGGAATGACATTGTATTCAAAATAACAATGGTATGTGAACAGTAATCAGAAGCTTCTAGATTTTTCTCCAATAATATGCCCGGGCTGATCGGTTTAGAATTAGCCAATCAGCGCGCAGCAACACCATCATGCATTAAACATGCATACATGAAACATCCAATATATGTCCCACTAACAGGTTGCTGGAAAGATATCTCGCCGACGCAATGTTTTCCATATCCGTGCTGCGGTTTCGCCAGACCGCAAGGACTGATGAGGCTCCCAAGATAAGTTAAGCGGTCGACACGCCCAACTAATTCACTCCCTATCATTAGTTCAGGTGCCAATGCAACCCAATCCTAAAGTAACATTTTGCACTTCGATAAGGAGAATCGCATCCCGAACATGCATGCATTGTTGTTTATAGCGGTCAGAAGACTGCATTTTGTCAACATCTTCACCAAATAAAACTATGTCATCGGCGTATTCTAAGTCAACAGGTGAGTCTCGCGGTAAAAGTTTAACTCCTGAAGATTTAGATGAGGAAAGTGTTATCTCTAAAAACATGTCAACGACAAAGATAAACAAGGATGGAGAGAGTGGACAGCCCTGACGAACACCACTTGAGGTAATCAATTCTAATGACAGTTCGCCATAGGCTCTAACTCGATTAGTTGTGTTCGAGTAGAGAGCCTGTATAAGGTTAATATACTTTTTTGGTACTCCTTTCAGTGACAAACACTGCCACGATACCTCACGATCAACAGAGTCAAATGCCGCCTTAAGGTCGAGAAATACTACTATTGTGGGACGTCTGAATGTATGTCTATCTTCTAGGGCCTGACGTAGTGTGAATATCTTGTGTGTATAGCCATGTCCAGGTCGCAAACCAGCATGGCTTTCTCTAGTCTGTTCTTCACGAGCTTTAGTTAGGCGTCCAAGTATTATTGGAGCTGATATTTCAGAAACAATATTAGTCAAACTGATTCCTCTGTGATTGTCACAGGAAGAATTTTGTCCTTTCTTATAGACTGGCACAATCAGTGATTGGGACCAGTATCTAACAAAAACGGGCGGCACTGCAAAGAATTGTGCACATAGGTCTATTGAGCCTACCAGTGGAAGTCAGCTTCTGTGTAGCAGAAGCCAGAATGGAATGAGTTGGAAGGTGGGGGTGTTAGGGAATTACAAAATTATTTATTTTAGGATTATTTACTACGACAGGTACGTTGACTTATGTTCCAAGTGGTGCTAATTCATTCATTTCATGAGTTCAGGAAGTATAATTTGAAAATGACATTTTAAATCGGTTGCCAATGTAACTTTTTCGGAATCGGACTAAAATATTTACAATACGTAACTACCAGTCTACAGCCTACTGATATACAATCGATGCTGTCTCGGAAATGTTTACCAAAAATTATCAAAAGGCTCAATGGCTGTTTGATAACTGCCATCATGACAACTCACACACGGTAGAATTCAACAACCTTGAGGGCGCTTAAACACCAGAAACAAAGTCAGTAAATAAAAATAGATGGTACTTACTGTATTGAAACCACCTACGTTAGACATTTGCACAAGCTACACTGATGTTCTTTCTAGGTATCAATTCAAAGTGTCTCATATCAGCAATCGGGTACATTCAAGGTGATATGTTTGTTTATCATGAGGTGCTCAGAAGTGGTCATCTTTTTTGTGATATGGTATTTGTCAACCATAACTATAAAAACTAAGAATCACTAAACGAATCACCGCAGTAACAAAGACTGTAATAAATAGGATAGTTTGGTCGATATAATCTCTTCAGTTTTAGGAGTCCTCAATCAGACAGTGTTTAACTTGGATAATTAATGATGTTTTCACTCATAACAACTTTCGAATAAAACGAGTTTTTAAGATATGGAGTGTTTCACAAACAAAAATTTCAAGACTTTTATATAGTTGTTTTACTTCATTAACACACCAGAGATACATAGCCTTCAGTACCACCTATGTGAACTAATTCGACATCTTGACAACATGACAACATGAGTAAATGCCTTTCCATATCAGAAGACTGGGTGAAAGAGAAAGTTAAAATTTCCGGTGAAAATCTAGGTGAGTAATTTTTAAATCATATATTTTCATAGAGGACATAAAAACATTGATACTACAAGGAAATTATGAGGAAAAAATCAGCTGCCTTGGGACTTCGTTATTGCATTTCTCAAGGTTAAAAATTTTGGATCTATCGAGAAATGTATTGAAATCGATCAGAGTAATATTTTATATACTTGTCACTTCTACAATAGGGTATCGAACACATTAGAACTTTGGAAGTATTAAACCTATATTACAATTGTATAGAAGAGATAAATGAACTTCAAGTTCTATCTTTCAACCAGAATATTAGGGATTTGGACCTCAGGCTAAATCCAGTTTCGCGTGTAAACTCCGATTACAGGCTTTATCTCACCTACATCCTTCCAAAACTGAAAACGCTTGGTAAGTAGGAAGTATTTTGAAATATTTTTCCATTTTCCCATTAAAAATAATGTGTAAAAGTAAACCAGTTCTTTTTTCTTATAATGCTTTTTGCTGGTACTTTGAGACTCAACGGTCAACTTAGCATATCTTCTTGTCTATGAATTTTCCACATAGGAAGTCAAATAAATGTAATATCTTTGGGTCTAGTATTTTCCTCTGCCATCTGTTTGACTTATGTCCTCAATAAATAGCTATTTTCTGTCTTATTGAATCCTTTTATTTGCAAAAGTAAATCTGTCGACGAGATGTTCCCTCTTCAATGTGTTAACTGAGTGAATCTACTACGTCTTTTTTTTTCTAAGTTTCTTTGAAATCTGAACGAGTCACAAACGCGTGCTGCCAAACTTTAGTAAACGTTTGTACATAGTGTACGCAGATTTACTGCACGTTCGATTTTCTCTCGTCTAGAGGATTATTTGATCCAGAAAACGTTCATCAGTATAATTATTTAGAGGTTCACAAAATAAACATTTAGATCTCGATGATCATAATTCAGTTTCGGCAATAACAACAAAATTGAATTCCTGAGTGAAAAGTCGAATGATCATTACCTGAACATTTACTGTTTGAATGTTATCTTTTCTGCTGTTTTTAAGACAGTATGAAGTCGTTTAATCAACTTTAATTATTCCTACTAACATTAGGACCAGTTATTAATATTGGTTTCATGTGAAGACCTATCAGCAAAACAACGGATTAATCACTAGCCATAAGTGTCCAAATTTCATCAATATTTACTTTAGTGAAGTGAATTATGTTCAAATACATTTTAGTTAGAATTATTTCTTAACTATGGGCATTAAAATTTAATAGTCTTTTACATTTTATTCTACTCAAACCCTTATTCCAAATAATTTTTTATCTCCTATATTTAATCTTGGAATTTGAGTAACCTACAAACTCAATTCATTTACCTCGTAACTTTGAGCCATTAAATGAAGTAACCACAATTTCAGTTATTTTTAGTCTGTTACCGGTTTGTTTTTAGCGATGATAAATTGTTTTTACAACAATGGTAGTAAAAATGTCCCTCACATTATCATCCGTTGCTGACTTATTAACTTTGCAAGGCTTTCTATTTGCATGGACACAGTCTTCTTATCGCAATCCAGTATCATAATCTTCCTATAACATCAACATGTTTATTCCTTGTTCATATGTCACCACGGAACTAATACTTTACCAAAATTTATATATATATATATATATTTATATATAATTTTACGGCTTGATAACGAATTTGTTGAAAAGAGACCCTTTCACTAAACTTTGTGTTTTAAATATTTAAGTGGGAATTATATGTCAGTTTAACATTCAAGATAATGCATCACATTACAACGAGACTTGGTTTAATGACGTAACTGCTTTAAAAAAGCTAAATGGTTTTACTATATAGCATGAAACTATAAGGTTGTTTCAGTTGATACATTGATACCAGAAGTGGTACTAAAGGCTTCTGAGTCATCAAAAGTCATTCGTCAGAAGCAAATATATCAACACATTTTTAGTAATCAAGTACATAACATATATATGACTTAAAAATTGTATTTCTTATTCCTTTAGATTGTCGTATGCTGAGAGATGCGGAAAGGAAAGCAGCCATTTCTTTCTTTGGAGTTGATTCTACAGTTGATATCTGTCCTTTGTCCATGTTAAGGAAACTTGATGATATGAGGTCACCTAAAGCCAGTAAGGCGAGACTTGACTACAGTCCAAATTTTTCTGAAAACACAGATCGCCTACTAAAATGTTACCAAAATCATAATAAATCTTCATTAAATATAGAAATATGGCCATGTGATGGTGATGCTACTTTAAATAATCCACTAGTTTATGATGTGGAGGCGTATGATTTAACAACTAGATCGCAAGATCCATGGACAAATAATATTTTACGTGCTGATTCAAAGCCCAGATTATTGTTACCACCGCTTGATCCTCCCAGAGGTATTAAACATGCCGAGTTCTACAATTGTAAAGGTAATAGTCTGTTCGTATTATTTTTGTTGTAATTACAGCTTTCAAGTGATTATATATAATTTTTCATCTGTCTCCTTGTTGTAGTCATACTCTGTTCATAGCTACTCAACAATAAGGAACAACATGAAACTAGTAATTCACTGTTTCGTATAGTTACTTGGTTTACCGTGTAGATGGATTTTTAGAAGCAAATAATCAACCGTCGTAAGTTCCTGATAACTGCACAAAGAAATCCTTTATAACTGTGTCGAGTTTTATCCATTTTCTTAGTGTGATTTTTAAGTAACCAGTGGCGAACTTTGAAGAACTGACATTAAAAACAGCTAACATAAATATCAGAAATAAAACAGACCTGCTTTATGTTTGTTACATCATGAAGCTTTGTATCAATCAATGTTTGTCAAGTAAAAAATACGAAAAAAATATATATCAAAATAGCAGCACTGGATACAAGATTTAAAAAATCTCTGGTTAGTTAAAAGCACTAAATATTTGTTTCACATGAGGTTGTTCCATGTTCATTAGGCGGTTGATATTTTCAACTTTTTAATTTAAAACCATTCTATAGTGATAAAATTATTTTCACTTTTGATTTCTAGTTTCAGCACCTATTGCTGAATATAGTAGCGGAGTAATAAATTTTGAAGGAAAAAACATATAAACACATAGTATTGTATTCAACTAGAGCCTTCTAAGGTCTTCCTTTAGTATTTATTTGCAAATACTCACGATACATTAACTCGACCACAACTGTTAAAAGAAGTTGGGGCACGCAAAAAACAAATGCATTATATGTACACTTGCTAGAAGGTACTTATCGTCAAAATATTTGAATAAAAAAATACGGAAATAAATAAAAGGAGTAGGAATATCGTGAAGACTTTAAGAGCTAAACAAAAGACAGAAGTACAAAACGTTAGTTCTGATTGTAAGACTGAATTTGATATCCCAAACCGTTGTAATTTTCGATATGTGTAGTAGAAGGTTTGGAAGCGTGGTCACTATTGAATGAGAAGAATAAAACGACTCTGTTTAATGAATTTGTTTAGTTATCTTTGAAATACGGAGGTAGCTGCTTACTAATTCATTGGCTAAATTGTCTGTTGCTGCTCACGATAATCACATCGACAGGAGCATGGTAATGAGAAAATGTTCGTCAACTTGGAAAAACTAGGTAATTTATAGTTTATACGAGCAGTTACGAAAGATAACTTTACGATATTTTATAGATGATCTGCTTCTTAGGCTGATATAATTCAATAAACATTCGATAATTAAAGGATACTAGAAAGTCAATTTGTTTCGGTATGTGAATCATCAACAGTATGTACATACAATGTCATTAAGTTGAGAATACATAACCTTTGTTGTCTCTCAGAGAACAAACTAGACCACTGATTTGTAATCCATTGGTTCGAATTTCCGATTTTTTTCCATTTTTGAGATAATTCCACAATCATCAAATCTCACTGGTAGGTAGATACAAGTTTTTTTCCAACCAAACAGGAGTATATTTCGCTACCCACAAAACTGAAACGAGCCTCTATGACTTTAAAGGTTTAAGTCACCAACTGATCTTGTCTAGATTACCAATGAAAACCTGGGAGAGTTGGACGGCTGTTTCGTCCAGGTGTAGAAGTCCTCACCAGTGCCTATCTACGACCCCGCACCTGGAACCATACACAAGACCTTCATTCTAGCATGCGAACGCCCAACCTCTAAATTGCTGAACTTGCATCCCACGGAGTTGGTGTCCAACATCAACCAACTGACGATATTGCACATCCTTCTTTCATTGTGTGTGGTGAATAAATGTATCACGCTCGACATGGTTGAATTCCAGTGATCTCAGTAAATATGAAAGATAGAAACCAAATAAACAGAGCAATGAGTTTGTGTAAATTGTTGAACTTTATAGTTTGTAACACGAGCTGACAACCACTGAAAGGAAGGACAGAGGTTTCGTGCAACCAGGAGACTCCATAGAGCTGGCCTCGAGAGCTGAAAGTTTTGCACCCGAATCTTTGAGAGGAGTTAGGGATGCCTAATGCTGAGGTGTTTTATACTAGGACGAAATAACTGTTTAGTGCTCTCTAGTTTTTAGTGGTTCTGTGACTAAAGTCAGTTCGTGATGAAAATAGATAAATATTTTCGTAGAAAAGCTAATGATGAACAATACATTGCCTTATAACATAGTCCAAATTTTTTTAAATGTGAGCATGTTACTTTACCTGACGTTATGACTCACTTTTTAAACCAATAAGTTGATTAGCTGAGTTAAACAAACGCCGTCAGCTTATTCATTTTGTTTGTTTATCTATTTCTTGTATTCCTTTTTTGCAAAACAGAAAACTAAATGAGATCCATGGTCTTTTAAAAATGAATTCTTACTGTTTTTATATGATATTGCCTAGTAATGCTGAATTATTGCATTCTACTACCGGAAATATATATATATTCAATCAATTAATATAGTCTATTTGTTGACTAATCAGAATTCCAAGATGACTCATTTAATCTTAAATTTATAGTAGGGGAAATTTTACGTAAATAAGTTGTTCTCTCTACTAAAATAATTTAAAATAATGTTTTTCGCTTATTAGAATAAAACATAAAATCACTGATGAATTTAAAAAAACCCACATTGTTTTAGTGAATATCACTTAAACTGAAATAAAGTGTATATGTAGTGATCTCGAGTGGTCTTAGAGGCATAAAGGCGATTGTCACATCTCGGTAGCTGATGTTTCGGAAGGATACTTCTTTTTGAGGTAAGTGAAAGTGAAACTATCTTAGAGGTGGTCTTGATCACCTGGGGGGATGTGACTACAGTTCCCTGAAGGATAACTACTTGAAGCAGGTCACACACAGCCTTATTGCGAGTTTTTATATGTTAGCTCCACGCTTTAAAGGAATTTCAGTCGGCTACGAAAATCTGTGGGTGCGGTGATGTGGAATGCTCTTAGAACTGATGTTTTCTATATTCTTCAACATCACTGTAGATGCTGGTTGTTTGAACTTAACACTCTAATTCGCTCAGCATTGTACAGTTAACAATACGCTTCGTCTTTGTACATTGCATCTGGGACATGGATCCTGAAGTTCATTGTTAACTACATTCCAACTATTTTGAGACTCGCTACTTAAATGTAATACCAATTCAATTCACTACGAATAAACGCATGTCAGTATCGGCTGATTTAATACAGTCTTCGATATCAACAATATGAACTACTCAAGTCCATTCACATATTTAAAATTGAGTTTTAGAATAATGTTGAATAATACACCTCTTGTATCACAGAAGATAAGAAACGTTTTAAATTGTTCGAAAATAATTTCATAGATCAAGTCTAATATTGTTTGAGAGAAAATGTGAGTTGATCGTTAAGTTTTATCGATGTTATCACACGTTCTTAAAGATGTCATTGGTTTTCTGATGAGAAATGTCATTGAAATTGTGTGCATTAACTTACTGTAACTACTGTGATTAAAATCACAGATTCGCCTTAAAATGTATTGAAATTCAAAACTAAGCGAAAAATACACCAAATAACTTAATTACATAGTTCACATCACTGACCGACGTTAGTTAGACAACCAGTAAAAAACGAAGAATACAAAACGGCTATTATGAGACTCTTTAATAGTGTACATTCATGAATATATAGTGGGATGAAATGGCTGGCTAGTTTTTCTTAGTTTTCAATAATTGTCTAAATAAAGTTAGTTTTTGATTAAAAAAAAATAACTTTAAATTCCAACATTCATCACAAACGCCACACATTAATTGCAAATAAAATTACTTTTATGATATAATTGTATGGTTTAGTCGATTAGTTAAGTGTTCGAATACTCAGAAATTGGTGATATTTCCTCTTAAGTTTCTATAGAAGACAGCGTGCATTATTACATCTTATAAAAGAAATATCTGTCCATATCCATTATTTTAATGACTGTCTTCTTTTTTGGATATATTTTTACTAACAAGTAAGTTAATAATGACTTTGCTTCTTTTAAAAAAAATTTACAATTGAATCCTTTTATCCAGCATTGTTTTAAGAAATTAATCGTATTTATAGATACTTATTTCAAAATTTACGATCAATAATATCACGTCTACTGAAATACTGATGTTCAATTCTTTTCGTTCATATAGAGAGACTACAAACAGAAATAGAATTCACTGTACCCGGAAGAAAAGATAATGTTGATGAAAATGGACCGATTATTGACAAAAACGGCCATCAATCTCATAAGGTATAATATACACGTGTACATGTGTATTTCATATATATATAGTCCTCAAGTGGACTACAACTCTAGGATGCAAGTAAATCCAGGGGATGAGTTTAAAGTAGGATGAAGCACTTATTCTGAGTTCGACTGCTAGCTACCATTCATCTCTTCTTATAGCGCTTGTGATTTAATGGCACTATTGAGGTGATTCACACAGGATACCCACATATAGACGTAGGTTAATCAACTGATGTCCTGAATATCCTGATTCAAACAACCAATATATTTTAATTAAGACCTAATTGTCTTATTTAATTCACGAATACGATGTCAATCATATTGATTGCTTATTTCTCAGTCGGTTTTTTTTGATAATAATACTATCATTACACTATTACCAACAAGAAAACTGTGATTTCTCAGAAAATGCTGTAGCGTGAACACCAAGAATTTCAAGTGAAATTATCAACTCACTCATTTAATGCGACCATATTCTTGGAATGAAGTAAAGTAATTGGGACTAGTTTATTTGAATGTTCGTCAAAATTAGGACGACCAGCTTGGAAAAACTTGGGTGCCAATTATACTGAAGACATTATGTATAAAAATTATATTTTAAACGATCTCAAATATTTCAATTATACCGATTTCAATATCTCTGAAGAAGTTCGGGAAATTTCGCCGGGTGAAACGTTAAAGATATTTGAATTTTTGTTGCTACGATTATTTTAAATATGATTTTCGCATATACGGATTAAGATTGGGTTGAATAAATTTCGGTTTTGTACTGTCTATGATTTAACCAAAAGAGAAAGAAGGTGGTCATAGTAGACTCAGATTCTAAGATTTATATATGTATGATAATCAATAATTCACATGATCTAGGATGAACAATTAGATTACTTTCATTTAAACCTACTCATATCTTCTGTATTTCATATTTTACAGGAATCCGGTGAACGATGTTTATCCGTTGTCTCTTCAGATGTTAAATTAGGAAATGGTGAGTTCACAACAGAAAATCAATGTTTCATTTATTCATTAGTCGTTTTTTACAAGTTTTACAAGGTATAAGAATTATATTTGACATCTACGTAAATTATACTCTGCATTTTGTAATATCTCACTGAAATCTTTAGAATATTGTAGTATTTTCTGAAATTAAGCACTGAAATATTTTAGTGTGATAATACTGATAACTATATTTAATGTCAAAGATATGCATTAAATAAAAAAACTCTCAGTTCTACAGATTAAATCCCTAATAAATTCTTATTATCCCAAATTGTATTCGAGATTATTCAAAAAAAATTAAGACATCTTTACAGCATTGATCAACAGCCATTTATCTTGAACCTTAAACGTTACGAACCACTCGTTTTCTTGATAGAGAAAGATCATTACGAGTGATATGAATAGATCATATTTGATGAAAACAACACTAATCGATTTCTTGCTTAATTTTAAATATCCATGCAAAACTTTGTTTATTTTGAAGTCAAAAAGTTCATAAAGAGACTAATTGACATCAAAATCCTTCATAACAAAGTATGGTCTACCTCAAAAGACCAATTTATAGTAAATCAATATGCTAAAGAAGTAAAGGAAGTAAACAAGTAATAATAAATAGCAAAAGGTCAAGGAATACAAATATGGTCGGGAACTTTTCTTATGTTCGTGAACCTGATGAAAGATGACTATCTGATCAAGACATTTTTGTCCAGTCCTGAAAAATAGGATTGCTTTTCCTGGTTTAATGCTCATGATCCCTAGCTAAGCGTTACATGTTTATCGAGGCCAGTGTTTCATGCATCATATTTGTTAAACTAATTTTTCTGTAGCTATCCCAAGAAATTTAAGGTATTTTCTTAAAAACTGAGTGTTGCTTGTTAAGTCTGAGCACCAAAAATATGTGATAATAACTTCCTGTGTGTTTACTAAGTTCATGCTACTTTTTAAGTTCTGGACGGTAAACAAATCAGACAACAATAACACGAGTGAAGATTTACTTCAAAATATGTTCTGTCACATAAATCAGAGATCATGTACCTGGAAGTTCTGGAAACCTCTAGAATAAATATGAATACATATGTTTTTTGGATTTACAAGACAACACTAACTGCTTAAATACAGTTCAGACATTCATCAAAGACGATCTTGAATGCCTATCTTTTTTTGCAGGTCCACGTATACCACCTAGAGGGAAACGTTTCACTCCATCTTCTATACTCTCTAATTCCAATATAAAAAAAACTTCAGTGGAACAGGATAAAAGTGAATATATTTCTGAAATCAGTAAACATTCCAATTCTTCATGGACGAGAAATGACTATATAGACAGTTATTCAATTGAAAAGATGGATAATGCATTTTTCCTCATAATGAAAGTAAGGATTATTTAATTGAAATTATTGTTTATTTAGTGCGTCTTTTAAAAAAACAGAACTAAGACTTCTGTTAGGATAAGTTTAAGAAGTATGTTACCTGTATTGATAGAACAATTTAAATGTCAACTTACTAACCAACAATAAACATAACGAAATAATAATATTCAGTCAGTCGGCTACAACATGGGACCAGACACATATATGCATCGGTCCAAGTTGGTGCATCTCATTGGCACAACAAGATGAACACCAAATTCATAGAAGTAGTTACTTCAATGGTGATTATATATACAAAATGATTGCATATAAGGACATAGTACAGGAAGAAAGAATTAGTTGGTAGAAAGAAAAATATAAAGCAATTTTAATCTCACAGTTTGAGGGAAGACAAAGAGTGTATACACATACGCCACTGTGATCGATTCTGAGCCATGTCACCTAGAGTCTTCAACCATTGGTTACGATAGTCACGCGGATCCCAACCAAGTAGTCTGCATCCACTAACATGGCTCAGACCAGCAGTTATTAACTTCAAACACTGATGCTACGTTTTGGTTTGGCCACCCCCAACCATCTCCAACATTAGTCTGCATAGCGCGTCGTGGTAATCGGTGTTCAGGCATACGTAACACGTGGTTCAACCATCTCAGTCAATGAAGATTCATGACCTCATCCACTGATTTACCGTCATTTTCTAATACCCTACGTTCAACCTCACTATTATTTACCCGGTGATGCGAACAATATTTCTAAGACATCTGTGGTCAAATACTAGTAGCCCAAAAATATCTTCTACCCTTAATGGCCACGTTTCACAGCCGTAAAGTAGAACAGAACGAACAACCGCGCAGTATACTCGTACCTTAATTGATTGATAGATATCTCGCATTCACCAAAGGTGACGTATTTTGACAAAAGTCGAACGAGCTTTCTGAATCCGCGCAGATTTCGTCAGACACCAATTCATTAGGGATGACCAGACTTCCAAGGTAAGTGAAGTTGTTGACGCGTTCGACTACTTCACTTCCTATCCTTAGTTCAGGTGTTGAGGCAGGCCAGTCGTGGAGTAACAACTTGGATTTAGAAGGAGAGAAACGCATCGCAAACATCCAAGCCTTTTTAATCAGTGCTATCAAAAGACTGTGTTTCGCCAGCATCTTCACGAAACATGACTATGTCATCTGCGTATTCTACGTCCATAAGTGGACCACCTCGTAGGAGACCAATGCCAGAAAATTCAGTCGACCAAAGAGTTTGTAGTGCCACAATTCGTTAATCGTTTAGTTCAATAACCGTTATAATTCTAATCTTAACGGCGCGTAAAATCAGAAGACAAAGGATAGCAGCAACTACCGTTTATTGTCGAAAAACTCAGGCTCGAAAGTTAACAACACCTGAGCGAATATGAACGAGCAAGAGAGCGAGGCAAAAGATGATGCGTATTGGAGATGACTGGGAAACCAACTCGATTTAAGCAAGCGTTAATCAACATTTATAGTCAGACAAAAATGAGTGACAGACATATGATGAATAAGATACGAAGTGTACACATATATGCTCATATAAAAGTATAGTCAATGTTAATAAGCAAATGATTAACAGGATCAAAATATGACTCATAATGGATAGGCGAATTGGCTTGGCCAGCAACTAGAATAAAGTATATGGGCTTAACATATAAACTGATACTACATAGCCCCCTTGTAGAAAATAGCACATTTATAAAAAATGTCTGTTTTCGATAAATAACACTGAAGCGGTATGTGGATAACGTCAAAATGTGGGAAAAAATGGTACAATACCTGATAAATTACAGTGTCATGTGAGGGGTGAGCGTATTAAGCGAAAGTGTCATACTTATGTAAAAAGGATCTTGAATATTGTCAAAGTGCGGACAAAAATTGAAATGCTAGGATTATGAGTACATTAGTAAGCGTACGAAAAAAATTTAACATGCATTTATGTCGTGACTGTCTGAATGATAAAATAACAGGTTCGTGTAAGCAATTCGAAATATCGTGAAAATAGAATATAACAGAAATTGGTCTATGGTGCCGACTGAATATGACGATAAAGAACAGTGGAATATGTTCTGATAAGCTGCAGTCGAGTAAATAGAGTCGATTGGCGATGAGTGGATTCGAATTTACACGATTGGAGTTTATGTGGGATAAAAAATAATCCAGCTGTAGGATGATGACTGCATCAGCGGTTGATATTCATTGCTGTACTGCAATTGATAATGATAATAAAATGCGAAGTCAGTATACGTTGTCGTTTGCGTCGAGTTATCGTTAAATATGTATTAGTAGAATGACCAGAGGAACAGGATAGTGACTGATGAAACGAGATATGCGGAGTCGTATTCCTTTTTGCTCATGAAGCCTAGTGTGGTTTGTGTAGTTAGAGGGATATGCGCTCAACCTCGTTTGTTACGAAACCGTTTTAAGGCGTAATAAAAATACCAATACATATGATTATCGATTACAGTGAGTGAGACTGACTTGAATGAGACGAACAAGAGTGTATCTTTGAGAGACCAGCTCTAAACTCTATGTTCTTGTATACCATGCAATGGAAATAGAATACTAATTGCAGTAATCAAATATTTTTGATGCGTAATAGATGATGCAGCATTCAGTTATACATGTGAATGAATAGATAATATGAACATAATCATTACAAATCGGCTGGTAATGCGGCGTGGAATACTTGATTTGCGTATAGACATTAAAGTATGGATCATCGTGAAACCAAAATTGCTGAAGTTCAGTTGAGCTTGTCGCGTAAAAAGTAGAAAACGACGATTGCTGAGTACCGATGAGATAAATGAATATTAGTTGTATCGAGAACATAAGTTCCTACTATCGGGAGTATGAATCCAAACTTATGTCTATGATAGAGTGTAATATTAGACCGAAAGTGACATGAAAAAGAAAAAATTGGAACGAACTCACCTGAATCAGGAAAATTGTACGTCATTGGATAATAAAAATAATCCAGTGAGTTTCGAATATCATAACGTGTAATGTCCATATAATTATGATTTGTTCGATTAGTGATTTGACTGCGTATATGTCATAGTTTAATGTTAATACGAACAAAATAATAATTCCACGTTAGATGATGATATGACATTATCGTAATAATGAGCATATGATGATTATTAGGATCAACGAAATATGTCGTCAGCGGTTCCATTTTTGATTTGTGTTCACTCGTTGCGGTTGTCAATTATGTAGTGAGTTCGTACGTAGAGGTTGTCGATTCTGGTCCATGTTCGTTCGGCGAGGCATCCAATTCTGTAGCGTTGTGCTCGTACGGCGAGGTATCCAATTCTGTTGTCGGCGTAAATCTGATTCTGTCTATACTCGTATATAATAAATGACTTTATTCCGCTTTGGTGAACAACGGAGTTAAATAAGTCAAATACGAGAATGGAATTAGGATACATATATTTTCTACAGTCATTGATTTGGCCAGAGAATCAGAGTGATGAAGCGAATAAAAGCGAACGAAGCGAAAGATCATGCGCAATGGAGATTGGCTGGGAAACCAACTCGATTTAAGCAAGCGTTAATCAACATTTATAGTCAGACAAAAATGAGTGACAGACATATGATGAATAAGATACGAAGTGTACACATATATGCTCATATAAAAGTATAGTCAATGTTAATAAGCAAATGATTAACAGGATCAAAATATGACTCATAATGGATAGGCGAATTGGCTTGGCCAGCAACTAGAATAAAGTATATGGGCTTAACATATAAACTGATACTACAAGTTATTCCCAGCAGTAGGTCTATGATGAAATTAAACAAGAATGTAGATAGTGTACAGCCATGTTGGACACCACTTGAGGTTGTCAAAACACATGACAGTTCGCCATAAGCTTTCACTCGACTGGTAGTATTCCAGTAAAGAGCCCTCACAAGTTTTACGTACTTCTGAGGTACACCTTTCAATGACAGACATTGCCACACAGCCTCTCGGTTTACAGAGTCAAATGCTGCTTTCAAGTCAAGAAAATCTATCATTGTCGGACGCCGATAAGCATGCCTGTGTTCTAAAACCTGATGAATAGTGAATGTGTGATCGATACAGCCACGACCAGGTCTGAAGCCAGTCTGATTTCCTCGTGTTTAAGAGTTCACAAGTGTTAGTTAAGCGTCTGATAGTTATTGAGGCTAGTATTTTAGACGCTATTTTAGTCAAACTGATCCCTCTATGGTCATCATAGGATGATTTTAATCCTTTTTTATATATTGGAAAAATCAGTGATTGAGACCAGTCAGATGGGATTATATCCAACTTCCAGATTTTAGCTAAAATATTAGTCAACCTAATCGCTAAAATTGGACCATCATACTTGAAGACTACGGGAGCCAAACCATCAGGACCAACTGATCGTCCTCGTTTCGGATTAGCTATAGCCTTCTGAACTTCAGCTAGAGTCGGGAGACATACATCAATGTTCCATTCAGGCTGTTTGGGAATGGTGGGTAGTTGTAGAGTAGCTGAAGGCCAGATAAACTGCACCTTAAAGTGTTCTGTCCATCGATGTAAGCGTCTGGGTTGAGAGCATATATGAGTGTTGTCTTTTTCTGAGATCACCTCGCCTACACTTGACTTCCTAATTCCAGTTTCTTTTATTTGTCTGAAAAGCTGTCTGGTGTTACCTACAGCCACTGCCTTTTCCATCTATTTCACTTTCGTTGCCCACTACTGCTGACGATTGCTCCGTAGACTTTTGGTTAACCTGGACCTGACTTAATTTCGTTCTTCATCGTGTTTAGAGCCTGATGGTATGAGATTACGATAGTCCAGCAATTCAATAAATTTAGGAGAAATCCATTGGTTTTTCGTAACCCTTTGGTTTAAAGCACTAATAGATGTCACTGCTGTTTCTACAGCTGTTTGTACAACATTCCAAGCAACATCTGGGTCAGCCTCGTCTTCAGAACCATCTAATTGTGACCTCAGTTGTACCTGGA